GTGTGTGTGTGTGTGTGTGTGTGTGTGTGTGGTTGTGAGCGCGCGCGCGCGCGCGCGCGCGCACAGGTTAAAAGAGCAGATCATGATGGAGCTGATCTCATTAGTAAAGGAAAGCTGGGCCTTAATTTCCTCTCCATGCTTCATCTTTATTAACGTCAGATGGTCAATGATCAGTCCTCAAAGACAGAAACTGGGTCAGATCTCAGTTCTGGTCTGAGGTCTGATGGAGAACCATTAAGATATTTTGCAAAAAGATCTTCTATTGAGAAAATTTATTCTGAAATCATTCCACTGTTTTTAACCAAAAATATATACGAAACTGCCGAACCTCTGCTTTATTTATTTCTAAAATATTCTGTTTATCTCCAGTAAATAACCTAATTAGTTGTATAAAATGCTCCTCCAGCTGTTTTCAAAGATTAGAAACCATCGATCTTTTCCAGGAGGTTTAATTTTTCTGCAGATGTGTCGTCACACCTGCACAGACAGAGGAGGGAAACGAGCGAAGCGGTCGATTCGAGCGGAAAAACAGGTCCACCTCACTGCTGAGGCTGGGGTCAAAGGTCAGGGTCAGGCTCTGCAGCAGTGAGTGACAGAAGGGGACGGAGCTTCCCATATCCAAACTGCAGCAGGACAGACAGATCTGTTTCTATTGGGATTTTATTTTCAGAGAGTTAAAGTAAGAACCTGTTTCAGTCACAGAGGATCAACAGCAGCTGGAGTTAATTAAAGCTGACATGAAGGCTGGAGTAAACGAGGAAAAGGAATTAAAATAAAACAGAGAGACGAGTGAAAACTAGTGAGGGAGGAGAAGACTAAAGGAAATCAATGAGGAACAGATCAATAGATGTTTGATTTTTTTTTCTAACAGCTAATTTCTGAGGAAGAGGAGAATGGAGACATCATCGATCCCCTCTCACCCAACCGTTGGTTATCTCAGGTTATTAATTGGTAAGAAATGTTCGGCTGAGTGATGGAGACGAGGAAGCTGATTAACTTTTATCTAAACTAAAAGAAGACGGACGGAGTAAAGCTTTCCTGCCATTCAGACCTGATGGAACAGCTTCTGTCATATCCTCTGTAGCGTGAGCAGAAGAGGAAACCTACAAAACAAAACTCCACAAAAGTAACAAAACACTATTACACTATTTTAAAGCTTAAAGGGATCCACGATTAGTTGTAACATTAGAC